TCCTCCCACCTCAAGCCCCACCCCCATCTCCTACCTACTAGCCTCACCCCGCCTCCTTGACCTGTCCGTCCTCCCTGGACTGACCTATCTCCTCCCTAACTCCCCACCTACACTCACCTTTACTGGCTCCATCCCCGCCTCTTTGACCTGTCGGTCTCCTCTATCCATCTTCTATCCGCCTCCCCCTCTCTCCCTATTTACTTCAGAACCCCCTTCCCCTCCTCCATTTCTGAAGAAGGGTCTAGGCCTGAAACATCAGCTCTCTTGCTCCTCTGATGGTGCTTGGCCTGCTGTGTTCATCCAGCTCTACACCTTGTTATCTCAGATTCTCCAGCATCTGCAGTTCCTACTATCTCTGAAATGACCTTGTAAAGGAGATGGTCAATCTGCCAGGGAGTGGTCAGAATTTGAATTGGGTTTTGGATTGTTTTCTGCAAAAAATGATTCTGGCTGTTGATTCTATGGCCTGAAGATTTGAAAACTCCCTGCATAACCTCCCACGAGCAACTCGTGGAAGCTCAGAGAATAGGAAGTTTAAATATTACTGCTTTTATCCAAGTGAATTGCAAATGTGACTCAATCGACATCTTCAACAAAAAAAATCCAAGAAAGTATCGTTTATGGCTGCAAAACAGCACATCATAAAAACCACTTAAGTAATCTGGCCAATTTTGTTATTTTCTCTTAATTGTGTTTGTCTGTCTGGTTTTTTTTGAAAGAGGCTGGGGCTAAAAATATACAGGTGCTGAGGTGTATAACATAGACCGATATCAGATTACTTTGTTGTTTTATTTCACGCTATTAAAATTGTTACATCATTAATAAATTGCTAGGTCTTTAAGACAGAACCAGTGTCTGGAATTGATTATTCACGGAGTCTGGGATTGGCTGTTCAAAATTCTGGTTGGGAGCCATTGGGGTCAATTCTGAGGGTCTTTGAAGGTTTTAGTTTTACTGTGTTGCAAATACTGAGATAGTATGGCTGATTTGGTTAAGCTGTCTCCTTGTCATAACATATTGCAATATTATCTGAAAGTAAAATTCAAGTTTCTTAAAAAAAATTTACCCACTTGCATACTAGAACAGTGAGTCACATCATCCAATCAATAATGGGATTTACAAGTGGAAAGCTCAAGATGCTATGCTTCAGTACTATTGAGGTTGTGTATTTTCTTTCTATAAAAATCACATTATTATTTCAAAACACGAGTATCTGTCATGATTTTTAAAAGATACTATAACTATGCACTAATCTTCTGAATCAGAGAATGTTAATGTTCATGCACTGAATTCTTTGAAATTGAGATGGAATAACTGGAAGGAAAAAATACTCCACAAGATGTTCACACCATCTGAAAGTGGACTATAAAACTTCAATTATTTTATTTCACAGATCATCAACTCAATTTCTTGTCATTTCTCTTCCTTGCTTTCCTTTTCCATAGAAATTGCTTTCCCTAACTGACCTAAAATTTCTCTTCATGAGGTCTTTTCACTTAAGTTCCAAGCAACCCTCAAAAGAGATTGTCCATTATATGGCTGCTGTACTTAAAGGAGTTGAGAAGAAAGGGATAGGAGGGTGTTTTCTTTTCAGAAGAATAAAGTGAGGGTTACTCCTGTTTGATTGTCTGCATATCTGAGTGATGATGACTGCCTTGTTTCTAAGTTCAGAATTATAAACTAATCTGGCTTTGCTAAATAAATATTTTACATTACACACAAAGCTACACTGAACACCAACTCTGGTGCAGGAAGACAATACATTGGTCATTACAAAAACAAAAATGCTAGAAATATTCAGAAGTATATGTGGAGAGAAACAGGGTTAACAATTAACATAATAACCCTTCATTAAAACAGATGACTCAACACAAAACATTAACGCTGTTTCTCTTCACAGATACTGCCTGATCCGATAAGTATTTCCAGCATTTTCTGTATTTTATTTCAAAATTCTGACATTTTCAGTACTTCCCTATACAGTACCAGCCTGGGCTAACTCTAAAGCCTTGATGAACTGTTTAATTATGCAGCTCTGCCTTAAGTGGATGACACCTTATTTTTAATCAATGGCACCTAGTCACCCCCTTTCACCAGCAAGTTCTAATGAAGAGTTATTGATCTGAAGTGTAAATTGCTTTTCTCTCTCCATGGATGCTGCTGAACTTGCAGAGTGTTTTCAGCAGGTTCTGTTTTTCTGTTTCAGATGTCCAGCAGTTACACTATTTTGCTTTTAGCTCCCCCAGCTCACTTGCAGTGTTTTGTTGCTCCACACTATCTAAAGTCTTTAATAGAACTACAATCTTGTCTTAAAGGATAAAGATGCAAGACGTTTTGTTGTTGAAGTAGCTGTACTCTGTAACATTAAAGATAATATCATAAAACCTCATGGGTGCATCCTTGATTTCTCCAGTATCATCTAAAATAACACTGAACTTGTTCTGCACATACTTTAAAAAGTCACTTATTGAAGAGTTACGTTTTGGAACATCTAAATAGGAAGCAGAATTCATTCAAACCTGGTGCAACCATAATTCATGAGAATGCAAGTGTCAACTCCCACATGAATACTACAGGTTTAATGGAAACAACTGAACAGTTGTGAGCCTGAAAAAGCATGTAAATGCAGTGATCCATGCTGTATCTCAAATCACTTCCTGTATCAATAACAAATAGAGGAAGAGGATTAATTTCATCCATGCAGAATTACTTAAGTAAAAATAGATTTTATGTATTCCTTCAATTTAAGCCAGCAAACTACTTCCAATATAGAAAGCAATCTACACTTTAAAGAAAATAATTGTTAACATTGAACGCTACTTTAAGATCAAAAACGTTAAGGAATTAAGTCAGCTTGCAACACGCTGCAGAAGGTCAAAGCTGAGTATCAGTTGTACGTAAAATGTTATGTTTTGTGGCTTTTCCTACAGTTGCAATTTTTAAGCTTGCCTCTCTTGTTCTGTCCAAGCTCCAAATACGTTACTATGATCCCTTCTCCCACACAATTCCAGAATTATTGCACTGTCTTCTGGGCTAACTCACTTTTCACCAAGACTTCACCCTGCAAACCCCATCTACCTCAGATTTTCCCCTCTGAATATCTTCAAGTATCTGATTCAAGTCAGTGAATCATTACTTTTTCATTTACCTCAGTGTCTGCTTTACAGACTTCTCCCAGTTCAGTGGGCGTTGAAAGGTCATTAACTTGAAGTATTTATTTATTCAATTTTTCCCTCTCTACAAATGCCACCTGAGCCACTGAGTGTATCCAACATTACCTGTTATTTAGGTTTTATCCTTTTCAGTCTCGCCAGAATCCTATGCCGTTATTCTTATCCTTTCACTTTGGTCAGTCATTTCTAAATCAGCAGATAATGGTGAACCAAGCACAATTTTTGTGTCACTAAGCCTTACAGTAAGAACTTTATAAAGTGTCCCAACAATGCAGTCCCAGTCGGACAGTCCAAATCCAGTGGTGGATTCTGCCAAGTCCGTCAGAATGTTTTAAACAGGCTTTGTTTATTTTTCCAAGATGTACAGGAAGACCCACAGAAAATGCTTCGTAACTGCCGTGTCTAAAACACGACCAAACCACATAATTCATATGGGAAAATTTAGGAAATGCAGGGACATCAATACATTCGCACATAGTCAAAGCAACGTCATTAACAATCTCCAATCTTAATTAACAATAAGATTAGCTAACAGACACAAATGTAGACTGATTCTCTTTTAAATGTGGTCAAGATCAGCAACTAGCTTAGAATAATAGCTGGCCCACACAAAAAAAAAATCAACTGAATAACCTTAAACTCAATACAATGTACAAGATTTCCACTAAACAACAAAGGTGCTGGCAATGCTCAAGTTTCTTTTCAGTAAGTTGTGCCTCTCAGGAGAAATGAGCAGGGTTATGTCCCAAAGGCCTTTCTGGTTCAGTGCCAGCAGTCCAGGGGATTTGAGGTTAATCGGAGAACTATCACAAATCCACGTAGAGACATAATTCAAAAATATCTGGCACACCACAACCTGCCTAGAAGCTGAAATCAACTCGTCTCCTGAATAGTCAAAACAATACACAGATATGACAGCACTTTTCCATCGGAAATTTGGCCGAAGACATGCTGTTTTACCTCGTGAAGCCAGCATTGGCAGTTGGTAAATCCGTGTAAACTTCAAGTGTGTACAAAGAGCAGGTCGAGGAGTTTTGCTGTAAATCTTTTTCACAATAACTAAGTGATAACCGATTCCCTTCCTCACACCCCGCAAACATGCAAAGGGAGAATTATTCCCCAAGATCCGCCACATAATAAGACACAAACCATGCGATTTTGTGGGGAGAAAATGCAACACACGTCTCTACCAAGCGAGACGACCCTAAGACTCGGTACAAAGTGCTCATTGTCTGTCCTCACCTCCATCTCTATACTTCAGACCAGCTACAATACTAAACAATACGTGTCACTGAAATGACAAACTTATTACACTCCCGAAACCGGGGAAGCCTCGAAAGAAAGACCATCTGTCTGTCGATGCTAGAGTTGAACGTTGTTAACTGAACAGTTCCCCCAACGAGGATTTCGAAATGGCAGGACAGCCGGGAATAGCAGATGGGCAACTTCGCTGGCTGAAAAACACAGAGCCAATACTCTACTCATCCTGGTGGTGATGGAGAGAGGGGTGGGGGTGATCCGTATTGTCCTCAAACTCCCCCTCGCCTTTTTGTTATTTGTATCTGAGGAGGGAGCCTGTTCCGGTGAGAGGTTTCAGTGTGACAAAGCAAAACATACAAATAAAAGCGAGTCAGTCAGTTTCCAATGCAGGGGTCTGGGAGGAAATCCACCTGCCGTACAATTTCTCAGCCTCCCACCTCAACGTCTCCGTTTCGCTTCTCTTCCCAGTTTTAGGGAGCCTTTTAGGCCCAACTGGGAGTGAGATGATCTTTCCACCTTTTAATTCTCTCAGATACTTCAGAACGAGCTCCACGCCGGTGTTAGGAAGCTACAGTGACGGGCAGATTCAGTCCGGCTTTAGAAATATTCTAAACTCTACATTCTAGGACTGTGTCTGACAGAGCACACCCCACCCCCCAACCCCCGTATCATTAGGGAGTTTACTTCAAAACTATATTTACAGAAGGTCGATCGAGCGGATAACATGAGTAGTCCGCTGTCAAACTTGGACGCTGGAACTTACCTTCAGAGCAAATTTCTCCTGGGCTTTCTTGCTGAAACATTCCAAAACTTTGCCATTGATGCCCAGTCCCAGAACCTGCGCCGTGACCTTGTAGTCGTCGGTGATGGCGTTTTTCTTGGTCTGAGCGCCGGTTCTCTGTAGCTGGAACGGAGCCGGGGGAGGAGGGTAAAGGGGAGCCGGAGGCGGCGGCTCTGGGATCTGGTTACCTTGTTGCGGATCCCTGGCTGTCGCAACGTTCGACAACATTGTTACATCGGAGCTCGATACTTTGTAACCCAGAGCAAACCCCCGGCTCCTTGTCAAACACAAAAGTTACAGACTTGCCACCAAAGACAAGTAAAAGTAGCTGGACCCCCAAACCTCACAAATCCCCCGAGCTGCTACACCGCCTGTCAAGAAGTAACGATCAAAATCCAAATCTCCCTTTTTTTAAAATCCTTGTTAAAAGCCTAGCTAAAGATCCCACTTGGTCAGTTTCACGGCACTTCACTTCCAATTGAGTTTCAGTGGAAATAGACGCGCTGACGTCAAAGCCTCACTACCAGACGGGGAGAGTCATGACGGTCTTTTCTTAAAGGTGATCGGGACAAAGGACGCTTAAAGGCAATGTCTGTTTCGGCCTTCCTGGAGGGCTGCGGTGGAATTTCTGTCGCAAAATCGGAGCCATTTTGATAGTGCTTGTCAGAAATGCTATTGTGTTCAGAAATGTCATTGTACCCAAGGTAAAACCAAAAACACGGTGGCTGGGAGCAACAACAGAGGACTTGCCTCTTGGGGCCAGATTTTCAGTCATGAGGCCAGCCACCTATCTGCTGCCCAATCTCAACAATAGCATAGATATTTTAAAATCAATCTGATAAGAAATATTATGACACATCTCTGGTGCAGTTGGAACTTGAACCCAAGCTTTATCAAGCCCAGAGATAGGGGTATTCCCAGTGCACCACAAAAACTCCCTTACTAAGGCAAATGGAATCCAATCCAGATAAATGTGAGGTGATTCACTCAGACAGGGTAAACAAGGTGAGGAAACACATGATGAATAGTACTGGAAGCGCTGAGGATCAAAGGAACCTTGGAGACTGAAGATAAGAGAGACAGACAATACGGTTCTTTAAGGTAGCAAAGCAGGTAGGTAAAGGGGTGTTGAGAAATCATAGAGGATTCTTGCCTCCATTAAGTGAGGCATAGAGTTTAAGAGCAGGGAGGTTAGTTGGAACTATATAAAACATGATTTGGCCGCAGTTCAGAAATCCATATTATAGGAGGAATATGACAGTGATGGAGAGGGTGCAGAGGAGATTTAGCCTTTGGAGTGAAGAATTTCATGTATGAAGAGAGTCGGGACACACTGGGGTTGTTTTCCTTACGGTAGAGGAGATTGAGAAGGGGCCTGATTGAGGTGTATGAAATTATTAGGGGCATAGACAGGGCAGACAAGAAGAAACATTTCCTCTTGATGGAGGAATCAATGACCAGGGAACTCGATTTAAAGTTTAGAAGAGATGTGAGGGAAAACGTTTTTACCCAGAGGGTGCTGGGAATGTAGAACTCACTGCCTGTCAGCGTTGTGGAGGCAGAAACCCTCGTTACATTTAAGAAGTATTTAGACGTGTACTTGTGATGTCAATACGTACAAGGCGATGGGCCAAATGCTGGAAATGGGATTACAATAGTTAAATGGTTGTTTTTGACTAGTGTAGATGTAATGGGCTAAAGGGTATTTGTCTGTGCTGTAAATCTCTATGACATTATAAGAGCATTTTATAAAAAGCAAACTAACACCATTACAAATCTGCTATTACCACTGTCTTATAGTCCTCAGTCACTGACTTGTGACCAAGTCTCATCCAATTGGACCATTTTTTAAATGATCACTGCTAAGAAATCATCTGAAAGTTGTGTGTTGACCCATTCTAATATAGTCAGTGTCAGAAGAAAACTACATTGTGAACGTCAATGGAAACTTTCATCTAAACACACCTGAATGACTGGATAAATCTCACCAATAATTACATTTGTTATTGTTGGTTGGAAGTTGCTTCATAATATGTTTAAGTGCAAGACTGAGCATGGAGCTCTGCTTTCCTCAATAACAGAACTTAACCATGAAAACACGCAGGATGTGCACTCATGAACTGTTGCAGAAGGGGGCTCACCTCCACCTTCTCAAGGGCAGCGAGGGATGGACAATAAATGCTATTTATTGACAAAAAGACAACAATGTTTTCTCTTTCTAACCGACTTTATCATTATTCTTTGATTATCTCTTTCGCTTTCTTTCTCATTCACTTCTCATTTTCTCTTTCCTGTTTTCTTATCTCATATCAGCCCACTTAACAAGGGTGTCACAATTGCATTTTTGTCTTTCATTCTCATGCTGGAAAGATTCCCTGGAAATGGGTTCTAAATCCTGTACAAGGGACCACAATCCAAAAGGATAACCTATCTGTTCTCTTTGCAGACTGTGGTATGATTTGGGGTGTATCACCAGCATTCTCTGAATTCATTTCAGATGTCTAGCAATTACAGCATTTTTGTTTGATTTTGTTCTGGAGTTTATCTGTGCCAATCCTGGCAAACCTGACTCCTCAGTGCCAGGGTTGCTGTATGGCATCTCTACAGAAGACAACTGCTGCTGAACCACGAATACAAACTTTTGAAGATGAAAGTCTGAAATTCTGAGTAGGACCTGGATTTCTCAGCAGATATCACCATTCGATTTTTTTCATAAGCTTGTAATAATGTGATTGACATGTTTTCCTGAGATGTGCTGAACGGGAAAAACAGCAGCAAATTTCTCTGCTGCTGTTTCTGGCATATTTCCCAACTCCAGCTTTAATTAGATGCTGTGCAAATCCTTAAATTACATATTCCAAGGTTGCTTTTTGGGTCAAGTCTTGCATTTTGGCAATCTTAGAAGATAAATTCCCAGAATTGTTTTCAAAATTCAAAGCAGGTACGTCAGATCTAAATAATTATTGTTTATCAGAGTTAGTAGCTTTTAATAGAGAAAACTTCTTAATTACTTGACAACAATATAGTAGTGATTATCTGCAGTGCGTTTTTCTTTGAAGATGTTTTGAGATCAAATATCATCAATAAAGTTTCATATTGTGCTTAGTTCTATAAAATAAATATCGATGCCTCTGTGACAGCCAATGGGTTGCAGGTAGGACAGGACATGAATGTCTCCAAATTCACAATCAAAGCTACAGCAATCAGACTGTTCTCCAGTTTTATTGCCTACTCAGACACAAAAATTAACAGTTAGGGATGACACAGCATTTATAATGAAAAGTTAAAACAGACAGCAACACTTCTTTTGTTTATTTTTTGATGTGACATGGAATTTGTTGGCAAAGCGAGTATTTATTGCCGTTAAACTGAATGGCTTGCCATTAAAAATCAATCACATTGCTATGGACCTGGAGTTACATATATGCGAGACTAGGTAAGGATGGCTGATTTCCTTCCTTAAAGGACCATAAGACCATAAGAAATGGGAACAGGAATAGGTTGTTTGGTCCTTTGAACTTGCTCTGCCATTCAGTAGAATCATGGCTGATCTGATATTCCTCATGTCCACTTTCCTGCCTTTCCCCGTAACCTTTGATTCCCCTACTGATCAAGAATCTATCTCTGAAATAACCCTCCGAGAGAAGAAATTCCTCCTCATCTCAGTCTTAAATTGGAACCTCTTTATTTTGAGACTATGCCCTCTGGTCCCAGACTCTCCCATGAGGGAAAATATCCTCTCAGCATTTACACTGTCAAGCTCCTTAAGAATCCTATATGTTTCAATTGGATCATCTCTCGTTCTACTAAACTCTAGTGAGTCCAGTCCCAATCTGTTTAGTGTTTGCACATAAGACAATGCCTCCACACTAGGTATCATCCTAGTGAACCTTTTCAGAACTGCCTCCAATGAAATGATACCTTTCCTTAAATGAGGGACCAAAACAACTCACGGTACTCCAGATGTGGTCTCACCAGCACCTTGTACAGTTGCAGAAATATTTCCCATCTTTTACTCTAACCATCTTGAAATAAGGGCCAAAATTCCATTAGCCTTCCTGATACCTGCAGCACCTGTGTACTAGCTTTTGTGTTTTGTACACAAATAACCTTCGGCTGCTTTGTGTTGCAACTTCCTGCAGTTTCCTGCCATTCTGTTCTTTTGTTCTCCCTTTCAAAATGAACAATTTCACAGTTTCCCATATTTTAATCTATTGGCCAACTTTTTGCTCACTTGCTTATCCTTTCAATGTCTCTCTGTAAAATGTTTATATCCCTGTCGCAGCCTGCCTTTCTGACAATTTTTGTAACATCTGCAAATTTGGCTACAGTGCGTTTATTTTCTTCCACCATATCAGTAACCTATATTGTAAAGAGATGCAGGACCAGCACTGATCCCTGTGGAACCCCACTTGTCACAGTTCACCAAATTGATGATAAACCCTTTATTCCCAGTTACTGTTTCCTGCCCATGAGCCAATTGTCTATCAATGCCAAAATACGACCTCCAGCACCATGGGCTCTTATCTCATGTCTTAGCCTTTTGTGAGGTATCTTGTCAAATGCCTTCTGAAAGTTCAAATACAACACACCTATTGGTTCCCCTCTATCCACTCTGGTAGAGACTTAATGAAAGAACACTAATAAGTTAGTCAGACACGATTTCCCTTTCATGAAGTCGTGCTGACTCTCTTTGTTTAGATTATGGTTTTCTAAATGTTGGGCTGTTACTTCCTTACTAGTTGATAGCAAAACATTTCCAACAATAGACGTTAGGCTAATCGGTTACCCACTTTTTGCTTCCTTCTGTTTTCATATAGGGGTGCCAAGTTAGCAGTTTTCCAGTCCTCTGGTACTTCTCCAGAATCTAATGAGTTTTGGAAAATTACAACCAACACATCCACTATCTCTGTAGCTACCTCTTCTAGGATTTGAGGATGCAAGCCATCAGGGCCAGGGACTTATCTGGCCTTTAGCACCATTAGTCTGTCTAATACTATTTCTTTAGTGATAGTGATGGTACTTACTTCCTTCCCTGTGTTCTTTAGTTTTAATGGGATGTTGGACATAATTTCCACGATACAAACTGATGCAAAATATCTGTTTAACTCCTCTGCCATTTCCTTGTTGCCCAAAACCATCTGCCCAGATTCATCTTCTATGGGGCCTATGTTCACTTTGACCTCTCTTTTCCTTTTTATATATTTACAGAAATTCTTATTGTCACATTTTGTTCATTGTTAGTTTGCCCTCATAGGTTATTTTCACTGTCTTTATTATCTTTTAAATCCTCCTTTGCTGCATTTTGAATTTATCCCAGTCTTTACAGCTATCACTGACTTTGGCCTCCTTATATTCTTTTTCTTTCAACTTAATGCTATCTGTAACTCTTTGGTTAACCATGCTTGGTTTATCTCTCTCTTCTTTCCCTTGCTGTTTTTTACTTTCACCCAAATGGACTGTACATCATCAAACCCAGACCATCTCTCACAACTCACC